CTATGCCAAGTACAGGAGTGCTGTGCATTTCTCTCACAAAAAATATTGAACTCATATTAAATACTATTCAGCCGAATAGAAAAGCAGTAAAAAATGTCCCACAAAATTGCACTCATTGATGTCGGGTAAAAATTTTTCAACAATAGGCTTTTTCAACAGTTGTTGAGAAGTTCTATAGTTCCCGGGCTCGTTCTAAGGGTTGGTTTGGGAAACAGCGGTGAGTAGCGGAGAACCTCTGCCCGCCAAGCTACGCGTCCGTGTTCCCGTTTAGCTCGGCTACGACGGGATTCGTATTGTCGACGGAGGCGATGATCACAATATCCTACTTCCGGACTCGCCGCTATGATTTAGCGCCACGATTTTTGTATCGCCGAAAATCGTAGCGTTGTGCATCTCCCTACTGATCTCTGTACTCGAATTCGTGACGTGGCTCTTACACTAGTAACAAGTTGGCATGAAGAGGTCGGCTTCAGTCGGCTTTAATTTCCGTTTAGTGAATAATACTGCACACTGCTGCTCTGTTCAGTCTGTACAACTCTACAAATAGTGGCCGACAGTCCTTGGAAGAATATTGCTAATTTATTGACAGAAAAGGACAGTTTCACGACGAAACGAAAGTATCATGGACAAGTTGGCAATTTGTGTGTTCTTTGTTGCTGCACTGTCAGCTGCTTGTGCTGAATTCTGTCAGAAACCAGAAGTAACAGCATCTGCATATGTCACCGAGGATGCTACAGTTTTGACTACTATTGCCTTCACCACTCAATTTACTCTGAAATGCAGTAATGGAGCCAAAGGTATCTCGCTCTATGCAGAGGTTGAAGGAAGGACTTTGCCAGCAGTTAGGTTGAGTGCAGATAATAAATATCAGGTATGTAATACAAAGTATCTTCCAATTACTTCATTATATATATACTGTGACAAATGATACAGATGTACTTAAGTTTCTTATAAAAATTTGTAGGTCTCTTGGACAGAGGATATCAAGAAAGCACGTTCTGGTGACTACAGCGTGAAACTTTATGATGAAGAAAGCTATGCTGCAATTCGCAAAGCTCAAAGAAATGGAGAAGACCCTAGTAATGTCAAACCACTTGCTGTTGTCGTTCTTAACAATCCAGGAGCATACTTAGGACCTTGGGTCAATTCAGAGTTATTGGCTGCAGTTTTAGCTGCACTGGTTTCATACACAGCATTTTCAGCAAAATCGAAACTTCTGGCTTAAATAAAATAGTTGAAACTGTCAGTTTGAACCTTGTTATTTATGAAAGATAATTTAAAATAGGAATGTTTTATACAATGTGAGGTGTATATTGTGAGAATAAAATGTGGAAACATATTTCCTAGATTTAATTATTTCTTTAATGACCAACTATTAAGTAGATTTAGACCAGACATAAATTGTATTCTCATAAAAAATTTTATTTTATACATATTTTTTCATTAAAGAGTTATCAGTACAATTCCAAAGGTGGTGGATTACCAAATAAAAATTTCCATGATGGTGGATATTTTATTTTACATGTGCCACTTTCTTCTTTTTGAATAATATTTAACCAATTATTTAAATAATTAGTCAACTCTACTGCTTCTGGAATATTATCACCCTCTGAGCAAAATCGGAGTAAAATTACACTGGGAATAGTAGCACTGGCCAAAGTGTCTATTAAACTCTTTGCAAAGCCCCCTCCAGGAATATATAAATTTTCTCTGGGGTTGATAAAATCTATTACTTTTGGTTCCAATTGTATCCAATTTAAATTCTCAAACTGATTACCACATTCTTCGAGCATGCTGGGAGATGCAACATAACGCAGTGGTACTGTTCTTAATTGAGCATCTCGTTGCTCATGTCCATAGCTACTGGTTAAAATAACCACCTACAATAGAATATACATATAATCTATTCTTATGTTAATGAAAATTGTCCATCCTGTACCTTTTTTATTTTTCTTTCCGTAATAAACTGTATTAATTCAGTGAAGAAAGATATTGGTTTCTTGACAAGTGGCGACCGAATTTGTAGTACAACTATTTTCTTCTCTGGTCCATGAAATAAATCAACTGTTGTACAAAGATCTGTCGATTTTTCATCATATGGATCAGCACCAATAATCGGTATAAAGGCATTGTTTACTAAATATCCTATCCTTTGAAGTTTCAGACTAGATATTATTAAATCTACAGCCAATTGACCAACGTTGCCAAAAGCCACCGAAGGTAGAATCAAAGTATGATTTGTCATATCTACTTCTTTTTTCAATTTAATCATTTTTAAGGGCCTTTTTCACGATTCACGTCACCCAAGATGAGAATTCTGTTGTGAAAATTGAGTGACTAACAGAATCAGACTGCAATGACGCAATTGTCCATTTTCATATTTCACATAGATGTGCGTCTTCCTCATTCACTTATTCCAATGGCGCTTCAATCTGATACAAAAACATAATGGACGGATCTTAAAGACGGGTTCTCATTGACGTACAAATTACGTTTTGCTTACCGATTTATATGTAAAGCCCCTAAAGATTCCAAATGATTATTCAAAATGTCAACACTTTCCAAATACCCGAGATGCCTGACAAGGCATTAAAAAGAAAAATGAGAAAACTAATGAAAGATGAACTTAATAGAAATTATAATATTAGATTCGGGCTAGCTAAATATCTTTACGCATAATGGTGATGCGTTTTGTGTGAATGGTGCATAGACTCGCGTATTTAAAATAAACAAACCATGGTATGCCTCAATGGCTTTCTGGATTGCCATTACAGATGAGCTTTGTAAATAAGGATCAGTTATGAAGTCGCATTATTCTACAAACAAATCGTTGAAAAGAATTAAATACTCGTCTGGTAACGACAAATTTTAGCCAAGGCAACAAAACGAAGTCTGTATCCATGAGGTTTCTTAACTTCACCAGTAGCGAGACTACTTTTGCACGCAACTTTCGTTGCTATTTACTTACGAAATATTTCCCCTTCAGTGGATTTACGAACCTGCTTCAAGTTATGTTACTCAGAATTAAACTTTAGCCAAAAACAGGCAACCAAGTCAAAAGCTGTCTAAAGCGTAGTGTTCTGTGAATTTTCACATTGGAAGCTCCATGAGTCAGCCGAATGACCGCTGATTGGTTGGCCTTCCTGTAGAGGGGATAGGTCTCTCAAGCTTCTATAAAAGCGACCCCATTCTTTACTGACGTAGCAGTTCTCTCGGTTGCATCGTTGATCGCAGTGTTCTCAAGCGCTTTATCATGACTGGTCGTGGAAAGGGCGGAAAGGGGTTGGGAAAAGGAGGAGCGAAGCGACATAGAAAAGTTCTTCGCGATAACATCCAAGGTATCACTAAACCGGCTATCCGTCGTCTGGCTCGTCGTGGAGGCGTCAAGCGTATTTCCGGTCTGATCTATGAAGAGACTCGCGGCGTATTAAAGGTTTTCCTGGAAAACGTAATTCGTGATGCTGTCACCTACACGGAACACGCCAAGAGAAAAACTGTAACGGCTATGGATGTCGTATACGCTTTGAAACGCCAGGGTCGAACTCTTTATGGTTTTGGTGGTTAAGAACTCTATTCCACAAAGATCATCCATCTTCCTACACGTCAATAAATAAAAACGGCCCTTTTCAGGGCCACAAAATGATTCCTACGTATGCGGAATGCAAAGTTCATATAATACTAAAAGAACTACACTGTATCTTTTGTATGACATCTTTATACAGTTTCTCATTTACTTTCAAATACTTTTGAAAATCATTGATGAAATTGTTGTTAGCCCTATAACAGTAAGGCAAAATACATGTACTTACAGTGAAAATGTAGCTTGTTACGCCATCTTACTGTTCTAGGGTAAGATGATATATATAATATATGACCCTATAGTACCACTGGTACGTGTTTACATACCATAGGAATGGCCTCCAGACAGTTTAGTCAGGTCCCCTAGATTTTTTTTGTTCACTTAAAACAGCTAATGAGAATAATGTGTGTATGAATAATGAAAATCCCTGAAATATGTATGAAATTTTATACCATCTATTTTCATTAAGTTTAATCAAAATATATTTTATAATGGTTATGCCCACTCATAATAATAATTCATAATTGTATTAATGTATTTGTTGACTTAATTATTTTTATCTACGTCTTGAAACCATATCTTTCGTACATTACATCTTCGTCTTGGAAATAGAAATAGTCTTCTTCACGTTAACATATTAGTCTTTATGTAAAGAGAAAATAAATTTTTGATATCACTACCTTAAACAGAATCTTTAGTAGAAATTTTTATCCAGCAATTATCATATACTCCACAAATGCACTAGACTAATTTATTATCTTCTTAAAGAAAAAAAATAAAATAGATTCAATTCCCATATTTGACGAGAGCAACGAGTAAATATAATTGTATATAATTTGGAATTTTATTAACCTTAAATATTAATTTGTCGGTCTTATAAGTCTCTACCACATGGAATTTGCATCGGATGCGTGACCAATGCAATATTAGCCAACTTAATCAAAACGTGTACAATAGATTTCAACCATGTTTATATGTAATTATTTTTAATAAAAATATCAATCAGACGACTTGTAATGTTTGAAAATGGCAGCATATAATCTTTATTATAATAATTTTTTCATTTTAACACAAAGTCCTGCGGGATGAAGATACGCTGCACTTGAATGTGATGCCTGATGCCAGACGTTAACTGCAACCTCGTACCGTATGAAAAGGAAAAAGTATAATTACATTAAGCTATACCTGCCAATTGTACGAACTACGTAATAATGGATCCTTTAGCGACAAAGTGGTAAACAATATTATGCGATATCGCATTTCAACAATATTTAACAGATGTGTAAAGAGTTGAACGCGGCGCACGCTCGAATACATGCTTTGATATTTCATTGAATTTTCGTCACTTCGGTTAAACGAGCAATCTTGGTGATTGTTTAATAAAAAATCCATAGTTCACACAAAAGGATAGTATTATTCCGTACTATGAGAATGCTTTGTAAACAAAAATATTAAGGAATAAATTAAAATTTTAAGTACTAAGCGTCCAAATGTTCAGTCGACATCTAGCGAGAAAGGCCGACTGGTCTCTCTCCATGGTCCGTGCTCGGCAATACTCTTAAACGGTCTCTTGCTACTAGCAATCATTGTCCAAGAACTCGACGTGACAAGTACACACGTTTACATAATAATACGTATCTATACGATTTGTTATAAACTTTACTAAAAAGTTTAGAAATCAGAGATTCCACATTTGAAGAAGATGGGCGATAAGGTTGCACCCGTAACAACCGCTACTGCAACGTCAGCGACGAATTCTCCTCAATCAGCATCTGCTAAGGATTCTGCTGCTGCGTCAAAGTCGAAACTGAAGAAACCTCGTGCAAAACAGACACATCCACGTACTGCAGAAATGGTCACCGCGGCTATAAAAAATCTCAAGGAACGTGGTGGTTCTTCGCTACAAGCCATTAAAAAATATATTGCTGCCACGTATAAATTGGATGCCGAGAAGCTTGCACCTTTCATTAAGAGGTATCTGAAAACTGCTGTGACCTCTGGTATTCTGGTTCAGCCCAAGGGTAAGGGAGCATCAGGATCGTTCAAAATCTCGTCTGGAAAAGTTGAAGTTGTGAAATCCGAAGCTCCGCGTCCTGCGCGCAAAGCTGCAGCCACGAAGAAAGTTGCAGTCACCAAGAAGGCTGCACCTGTGAAAAAGCCAGTTGTCCAGAAGAAAACAGCTCCTAAGAAAGCTGCTGCTACTCCTACCAAGAAAAAAGCGGCTGCAGAAAAGAAAAATGCTGCAAAGAAAGCTACTGTCAGTGAAAAACAAAAAGTAACTAAGGCAACAGTCGTAAAAGCTGTTAAGTCAAAAACTCCATTGAAAACGAAAAAGGCTGCAAAATCTCCGGCAACCAAAGCTAAGATACCCAAACCGAAAAAAGTTGCACCCTCGAAAACTGTAAAGGCTGCTCCGAAGAAGAAATGAACTTGTACAATTGAATATCACTCGTGAGAGAAAAGGCCCTTTTCAGGGCCGTCATATATACTCAATATGAGGATAACTCTAGATTTCGCATAAAAGTTAAAACACTACCTACACCTTACGGCCTATAGCACTCCCTATAGGTCAGTCCACGATTTCAGTTTTTTTTTTCACAGATCAAAAATAATGAAGTCTTCAGCAAACCACACGTTGCTTGGCAACGCATTTTTCTTGCAAAATATTCATGTGCATGGATTCGCACTGAATTTTACAATTTTAGCATATATTTCCGTAATTGCATGGAAACTGACGTGTGATTTCTTAGATTTCATTGTTTCATAAATGTCAAAAAACACATTGTACTCGTGGACTAACTATATATCCTTTTCATCGCGTCTTATACAGAGGATGTTCCTGATTATTCCTATGCTTATGATTTATTCGGACAGATCGTTAGAGACAAATATTTATTATTATTTTAATACGTCGTACACTTCCACGATACCATTGAGACTGAACGAATATGGAAAACTGAAATAAATATATTACTAGAATAGAAAATTATTTTTTAGTATTGTGAATAATACATATATCACGAGTACTTGTACAAATATTTGTTATACCTGCACTTTAAAAACTACAAATATAGTTGTATAAAAAAATTATCTATATCTTATTTTAAATCAATAAATCGTGATTGTACCTCGTATGAATATTGTGTTGGCCCTGAAAAGGGCCGATTTGTCAATACAATGTATTAACTCTTACGAAACTCCGATTCCAACGTTAATGGACGTCAATACTATGAGAATTAACCTCTCAGAGCGCCGTTGCAGCGAATCTTCGAAAATGAAGGTTGCCTCTGCATCTTCGAGGCAATTTCTCGAATAAGCCGTTCAAAAGGTAACTTTGGAATTAAAAGTTTTGAACTTTTCTGGTATTTATGAATTTCACGTAAAGCGGCGATGCGAGGTTTGGGATGTGAAGTCTTCTTCACTTTACCGGCAGTATTTGTGAGGGCAACTTTCACTGTTAATTTTTTAGGTGGAGTTTTAATTTCACGAGATTTATACGCAGTTTGGTTCGACGGAGCCATATCTGTACGAATCTGAATGAACTATTCGACAAGACAATGAGAAGCAGTCAGAAGTGGTTTGAGTTGTTTTGCTAATGCGCAGCTCTGGAATTCTATCGGACAGACGTTACAATCGTTCCGAGTCCAGGCACTGCCTTCAGCACTTCTCCCACTCCCTGGCTGCTCCCACTCGACGAAATTGCGCGCAACAATTTTTGACAGTTTCCAGTACTTCTAAATACATATTCTTGGCCAGGATTTCGGATTTCCAAGTGTTAATATAGATTTAAGTAATTATCTTTATATTTAAAACACTTAATTTATCAGTATTTTAATGCGACCGTAATTTATTTTCGACATTTTACAATTTCAATTCATTTTTTATCTACTCCGTATATTATGCTAGATTTAATTTAGCCTCAATTTTATATTTTCAACAAATTTATTAGTAACATTTGGAAAGCTTTAGTAAATGTTTCGAATTTTCAATATTTCTGGGCAACTGATATTTTCCATCTGTAAGGCAGGGAAACAGGGACACATGGCTATTCGCAGTCTAACAGTGAATTTTGAAACGTAGGTACCCTAGCCAATGTTGCAGACGCACCAATGGTATTGTTACGTGTAATATAGAATCTGAATCCCAGTTTCTGATTGGTGTACTGTATTTCTGAGTCTGTTTATATATATACGTGGTGCTGCAGTAACGAGCTTTATTTTCATAGCAGCCGTTGAGGAGGTTCGTACTGGTTCGTACGATCAATAGAGTTTTGTTGCATGATGCCACCTAAAACAAGCGGCAAAGCGGTAAAAAAGGTCGGCAAGGCACAAAAGAACATCGGTAAGGCTGATAAGAAAAAGAAACGCAAAAGAAAGGAGAGTTACGCTATTTATATCTACAAGGTTTTGAAGCAAGTCCATCCCGACACTGGAATATCAAGTAAAGCTATGAGCATCATGAATAGCTTTGTTAATGACATCTTCGAACGCATTGCTGCTGAAGCTTCTCGCTTGGCGCATTACAACAAACGATCCACTATTACATCTCGGGAGATACAGACTGCTGTGAGACTCCTGTTACCTGGTGAACTGGCTAAGCACGCCGTTAGTGAAGGAACAAAGGCTGTCACGAAATATACGAGCTCCAAGTGAACAATTATATGAAATAAAAAGGGCCCTTTTTAGAGCCACCAAAATTATCTCGTATGAATTTCCGCGGATTTAATAAAATTATATTTCGTCTGTGGTTCAATATTGAACAAATTTAATTACGATATCAAAAGCGTGGATACAATATTTTTATATTATTTCAATACCTTTTTCCTAGAATATTGGATTTACTAGTACTTTAATAAAGACTGAATTGAGTTTAACGTTATAAATATAAAATATACTTTCATCATGTTACGTTAATTATACTAAATTAAAATTAAACCGAAAAATAACGCTAAAATATAGTTTAATACATGTACCTAAATAAAATTTGAATTGTTTTTTAAACTCTGAAACATATATATATTTAGAGAACAGAGAGACACACATACATTTTAGGATATTTTTACTATAGTAAGTATTGTAGTGATAACCAATAGAAGCCTTCTAATCATGCAATAATTTTAAAAAAACGCATTTTCATGTTCAAGGCTAATTGTAAGTTGCCACCATTGCACATAGTCGCAGGCGACTTGTATCCTTATAGACGGCCTTAAGGCGAATGACGGCTGGCGTCCAATATGGTGATTGTTGATTTCCTAAAATCATTTGTCGTATGAGAATTAAATAAAAATGAGTTTATGTATATAATATATATTAATCATTTAATCATTTTATAAATAAGAAGTTGCTGTATTTCTTAACTGTAAAATGGACGCACGCTCATAAGTAATTATTGGTTTACATGCGTGTACCCATGTGAGTTAACCATAAAACTGTTTTGTGTATTTCAAAATAGGGATTAAAATTTGCATTCTTGATTCAGTTCATTAATTTTTTTTGTAGCTTGTATACAACATGTCAGACGACGAGGATTTAGTTTATGTGAAGAAGCAAAAAACAGTCCACTATGGATCTTTGGAAGAAGCAGAACGTATTCGGCTTGCTACAGCTGCAGCTGAGTCTTCTGAGGAAGATAAAGATAGTGCAAATGCAAATGATATGCCTACCATTTCAGCTATGGCTGGAAATGTACATATTTCAAATGAATATATGGAATTGGAGGATGAAATGTCCAAGGATAGACAAGCTTTATTGGAAGAATTCGAGCGAAGGAAAAAGGCGAGACAAATTAATGTGTCGACTGATGATTCTGAAGTAAAAAAGAATTTGAGACAATTAGGAGAACCGATCTGTCTCTTCGGAGAAGGTCCTGCAGACAGGCGAACCAGGTTGAGGGAATTATTAGCAAGTCTTGGTGAGGATGCAATAAAAAAGAAGCACGAGGATGAAGAGAGACCTTCACATCCCACAGAAAGGGATACTGAAACAACCTGGTATCACGAGGGGCCAGAATCACTTCAAATCGCACGGTCCTGGATAGCAAGTATGCATAATATCTCATTGTGTCATTCATTGTTATAGTTGTGACATTATTACCATAATCTATATAAAATAATACTCTATTTATCTATGATTGTAGATTATTCACTTCCAAGGGCTAAAGCACGGCTTGATCGAGCAAGGCAAGAATTAGAACTACCTGGTGCTACACGTACAGCACGCAGACAAGAACTTTTAAAGAAACTTCAAGCACTAAGCATATACTGTTCTCAAATTGGAGATACGAGGCCTGTTTCATTCTGTCAGTTTAGTCCAAACTCAAAGGTACTTGCTACCGCTTCTTGGACTGGATTGTGCAAGTTATGGTCCGTACCTGATTGTACTCTCTTGCGAACTCTTGAAGGTCACACTTGTAATGTCAGTTGTATCGTGTTTCATCCAAAAGCTACAGTGAGCGAAGAGGTTTTTGGGGAATCTGCAGGACAGACTTGTGTATTGGCGAGTTGTGCATCCGACGGTAAGTTAAGTCAACGCACTGTATATTTAATAAAAATCCATGGAAACATGTCATCCTTCCTTTTACATTATTTCGTGACGTTTCTCTATGCAGGCTCAGTAAAATTATGGGGTGGCGGAAACGGACAGAAACCATTAGCTGAGGTGGAAGGTCACGAACCACACAGAGTTTCTCGAATTGCATTTCATCCGTCAGGCCGGTTCCTTGGAACGTGTTGCTTCGATGCATCATGGCGTCTTTGGGATTTAGAGCAACAGGCTGAAGTTCTACATCAAGAAGGACATGCTCGAGCTGTACATTGTATCAGGTACATAAAACTTTTTTAAATAATGATATTCAAAATTAGATTCTGTAAATTGAATGCATGTTGAAATTTAGTTTTCAGTGCGATGGCAGCGTAACTGCAACAGGAGGTCATGATTCGTTTGGAAGAGTCTGGGACCTGCGTACTGGTAGGTGTATAATGTTTATGGAGGGACATTTGAAATCCATATTTGGCATTGATTTTTCACCGAATGGTTTCCATCTGGCAACCGCGAGTGAGGATAACTCCTGCAAGATTTGGGATCTGCGGAAGCGGTCTTGCATATACACGATACCAGCCCATACAAATCTACTGTCGGACGTTAAGTATCAGAGGCTGGAGGGTCAGTATCTAGTTACGGCGTCCTATGATAACACTGCCAAAATCTGGTCAAATAAAACGTGGCAACCTCTGAAGACCTTACCAGGCCACGACGGTAAAGTAATGTCTGTTGACGTTTCACCGGATCACAAATTCATTGCTAGCACTTCTGCCGACAGAACTTTCAAACTGTGGGCTCCCGAGAATATGTAAAGGAATTCACACTCGCCTGAAATTCAATAAAGATATAGTCTTTTTAACACAAAGCTCTTTCTTTCTTACCATCTACTTCTATCTCGTAGGAGATTTGCATCTTATATGTGTTAAATTAATAAGATCGCGTACTGTGTCTACATGTTAGTATATTATGCCAAATTTGTCATTACCTATAAATAATATCTTGTAATAGAAAATAAATAGTTGTTTCATTGGTTAAAAAAAATTATTGATCTTTTTACTTTCTTCAGAAAAATATGGCTTTATTATAATTAAAAATTAAATGTTATTTATTGCTGATGCGATAAGAAAAATTTTATGTAGCATCATTTACACGTAGATAATCTTTAAAATGCGGTAAGCTCTCTTAATAAATTCTAACGGACTGACTTATTCTGTTATCAATCACATTTTATTTTTCAATACGCTTTGAACTGATTGTGGGCAATAGCAAGATCGATCAAGTTTTTTATATACCAAAGTCTAGCATAAAAACAATATAAACGTGAAAACCGTTAATTTAAAAATAATGCTGAATCTTCCATGAATTATCACAGAAGTAAAGATATGGTTAACATAAAAAAAGTTATCGTGACCCTCGTTGCGCATATTTGAGTGTGTCCAACCATAAGTAAATACAGCGTTTCATAATGGAGCCACGATTGGACGTTGTTCCAACCATCATGAATACTTCAAGCATAAGCGATGCCTCGTATATCTTATTTATCATCATCCTCGATAAAGCTATTTATTGTCGCTGTTTACTTCTAAGATACGAGTCGCTTCAGCAAGTGATGACACCGAGGGCATCCGAGCCCAATTACCAACAGACCTTTTGCTCGCAGAATAAGAAATTATCGAGTAACGTTAGAAAGTTCAAAATGAAATCTCGAGTTTAAATTCCTCTAGTTTGGTCCATGATATTCGAATGCTACGCTCTAAACTGTCGCGTCTTCTTCCAAGTTTCCCAATGGTAAACTTTTAGCTGCAACATGAATGCGCATAATTTATTTGAATTTGTTAAAGGGTAGGAGCAGAATTCCTGCCAAGCGAAGAGTTTACTGCAAGTAGTAAATTCCAAAAGTCTTGTTAGAATCCCGAAGTAAAATATTTGACGAGCCGACGGAATGGGCGCCGTAAACGACGCTACTATTCGTGGCCGTTATTAATGCCAATTCGCAGGTTCTCAGGAGTTGATCTCCCGTTCGGCAGTTATTTTTTGAAGTTCATATTTCGTATACTGACTCATAAAATGTTCTTTATGTACACAGAGTATGTCTATACAAGAAATCATTAACTGATATCGGAGCCCTTAATCGTTTTGAAAAGTCTTAATCACTGTTTACCAATTGGATCAGGGAAGCTTTTCTTTATCGTTAGTGGCAGCCACCAAATTGTCCTATCATACGAAAACTCTCCCGCCATGGATAATTCGTACAAATATAAAAGACACGTTAAAAGCTTCCTATATATACAAAATAATAAACTATACAAATTTAAATACAAATTATGCAAATTACACAAATTATACAAATTTAATATCGATGCGCGAGAATCGGCAAGTGCCGAGTGGTGTTGCCTCCCTATTCTTTTGGGTTTTGGTACTTGTTTAGTGACGTACATTATAGCGAGGTCCTTAACATATACAAGAACGCGTACTCTGGACTCGTTTCCGGAGGGTCAGACTACGAATATTGCCCGAAGCATTGAAACTTTTAATTTTGTAGTTTGCCTACCAAGAAAACTATCTTGCGGTAGCAGCAAGTGCAGCATCTGCCGTTGCGTTACTTTTTCTCTTGCATAGTGTATAGAATGCGCTGGTGTTCCCACTGGGAATTCTATAATTAACGCTCTCGTCTATAATTCCGATCCGATGCTGCGCTTACAGCAACGACAAGTTGACGTTTACAGAGTTCCAAATACCGGACAACGAATATCCAGAAATCCCTAGACAAAATAATTGGACTGTTATCTGCCTTGAGATGTTGTATTCTTCGGAGACTTATCCGAGCCACGGAGACGCGGTAGGGTAAACTTGACGAATAATCTAACCCAACGGGTAACTTTAGTCAGGATAGAGTGGCGTCTAATTACAGTCTCACTATCATGACCAGGATACCGGAAACTTTGTCGAACGTATTCGTCGGTAATTCATGCTGCTTCGTTAATTGGCAGGGGCTCGTGAATCCACGTCCTGTTGCCACCCTCGGCGAAATCAGCTGCGGTGTGTCCATCCCCTTGCAGAATCCATTTTGTGGTTAGTAGACCATCGACTCCTACGGGACCTCGTGCATGGATGCGTGCCGTGGAAATGCCAACCTTTAAATATAAATGAAGCCGTAAATGACAATGACGTGATGGTACAGCGTGAAATTATCATTGTTCTACGCAAATTCCCGATGCATACAGGATACGACTGGTAATTAGTTTTCGTCAGTTAGCTGAGAGCAGGAAAATGTCCATATGGATTCCAACGAGTGAATTTTCATTGTCCAAATAGTTATGCTTCGCCGTGACGTTGCTCGTTCGATTTATTTGTTTATATTAATCGATTGTTCGGATTATATAAAATATTACTCACCTCGGCACCGAGTCCGAATCTATAACCATCGGCGAATCGACTACTGGCATTGTGGAAGACACAAGCACTGTCGACTTCGCACTGGAAATGGGCCGCGCTTCTTTTGTCCTCAGTTATGATGACGTCAGTGTGACTGCTCCCGTACTTGTGAATGTGATTTATCGCGTCGTCGAGGTCGGACACGACCTCAATAGTGCACTCCAGTGCTCCGTACTCGATCTTCATGCTCTTTGCTGCAGGCGGACCGAAGGTTAACTTCTCCCGTAGCTTTGGTCCTGAGTTGATCTTCACCTGCGGGCAAGAATTTAGTTTTACTCTGTCTTGTATTGTCTCTGTAAAGAAGGAGGAAAAAGGCTTTAGTTGTGTTTTTCACAGTCGTATTTTTTGGATTGCGAGTAAAATCGGATAAGAAGCTTCGTTCGAGAATATCACGACGACCAATGTACTCACGCCCTCTTTCTGGAGCATGTTGCAGACCTCAGCAAAGAACGTGCCGTTCATGTGACTCTCGTGGATCAGGAGTGTCTCCATGGCGTTGCAGGCAGCCGGGTAGTCGCACTTGGAGTCTCTGATTATCTTCAGTGCCTTCTCCAAGTCCGCATCCTTGTCCACGTAGAGGTGGCAGATTCCTTCAGCGTGTCCGAGGACGGGAATGTGCTTGGACTGTTCTTGGATCGTGCGAACCAGATCGGAACTACCTCTGGGAATGATGAGATCGATGTGCTTCTCCATGGATAATAAATCACCGATCTCCTCCCTCGTGGACACCAGGGAAATGGCATTGGCTGCTCCTACGGAGCTCAGGGCTTCCTTGACCAGGTCTATGAGGCACTTGTTACTGTGCGTAGCTTCCTTTCCACCTTTAAGTAAAAGTCCATTCGCACTGGAAATCGCCAAGGCAGCTACCTGAGGAAGGCTGTCAGGTCGGGATTCGAAAATAACCAGAAGAACTCCAATGGGCACTGTGATCTGCTTTAGCTCGAGACCTTCAGCCAGCTGCGTTCTCCTCAGGACTCGGCCGACGTTTGTCAATGAGGAATCGGCGATTTGTCGAAGACCCAAACTCAGTGACTTCAGTTTGGAGGGCGTTAAGGACAAACGCGAGAGGAGGGCTTTGGCGAGACCGGATTGCCGTGCTGCCTCGAGATCTTTGTTATTAGCGTCGAGGATTTCAGCCTGCTTGGATACCAGTAAGTCGGCCAAAGTATTGATGCAGCTGGCCCGCTCTTCCGGTCGAAGGGACTGCAATACTCTGCTACCGATACGAGCTAAAGTCACACATAGTCAAAGGACATTAAACCCTTCCAATAAAAGAGATAATCAAATTTATAAAGTAGAACTTTGATTGGACATTGAATTACCATTCTCGGCGACCACCTCGACGGGCGCCGAAGTGCTCGTTGTCTCCGTGAAGAAAGTACCGATCTTCCTGCCACTCATGATGCTCTTGATAGCCTTTTCCTGCATTCCGTTGCAAATTACTACGGAGACTCCCCTGTCCAGTGCCCAGAGTGCCGCGTTCACCTTGGAGTTCATACCCCCCGTACCGACTTTCGATTTCTCCCCAAACTTTATGGTACCCCTGAGATCAGAACTGAAGGTATGAAGCATCTTGGCACCATCTTGCCAAGGAGGCAGGTTGTAAATTCCATCGACGTCACTCATGAGGATGAGCAGGTCTGCCTGGATTTCGGCTGCCAGCATCGCGGCGAGTGAGTCATTGTCCTTTATCGAGATTCCCCTTCGGCCGCCGCCGCCCGAGACCTCCTCGTCGGCTTGAGGAGGCGGCGACACGGCGTCATTTGTATTGATGATGGGAACGATATTCAGACTGATCAGTTCGCTTAGGGTGCTGAAAATGTTCTTGCGGGTTTCCTCATTGTAGAAATCCGGCTTAGTCACCAGAACCTGTGCCAACTTCACACCGTACTGAGCAAACATGGCGTCGTACAGGGACATCAGGCCGGATTGACCGACTGCTGCTGCTGCTCTCGGTTCTAAAAGAGTGCCTACAACCGGTTCAAAAATCAGATTCTTACGATGCCATACGCACCTTAAGGTTGCTCATCTTAAGGTCGATCAGTCTTACGAGTGATGATACGCGCGAGATGAATAAGTGTGCGACGTATGATTCTAATCAGTACAGCTATTTGCACCGTCAATAAGATAAAGGCTCGAGCCATGTTGGTGGCAACGTGGTACCAGTAAACTGTATAGTTTTATTGCTCGAAAATAGAATGCTCATATAGAGACACATTACACGCTTTTCCCAAATACCCCTCAGTAAACACGCACTGATATCAACTGCAGATGCCGTACAAACAATGTCTTGTATACACGACAAACGACATTGCTAAACGGGGAATCCACTTTCTTTGGCACATTTTATCAGCCGAAACGATTGCGCGAATTTTCCAGTACGAGCGAGGAATCGCAATGCTTCTTCCTTTGTTTCTATTTACGTTCGCTTGACACTGATAGTCGCGATACGGTGTCGATCGCGTGGTGCGAGGAGTGACACTCCAAGAATCCAATACCCCGTGTCCCGTACGTCTATACACTCAAAACTAAGAGACCAATCGAGTAGAGCTTTCGAGATTGTAAGTTATTGACTTAGAAAAGTGAGATTTTATAAATTGAGGATAAATCAAGCGCGATGAAAGATCGTCGTTCGAACTTATCCAGACGCGTTTCCGTTCCGCGCGCACCATCCAACTATGAGGAACTCGTTACCTTCCTATTGCTCGAAGAAACTTTCCAGTTTCCTCGACGAGCTATCTCTACCTACACAAAGCTATCATTCGCTCTTGACTCAAGGACCATTAAAAATTTTACGCTCCATCGACGAGTAGTTTTACTTTCTTCAATGAATCGTTACAGCAAACGCACCACCGTACCTGCGTGTTCCCGAGTATGATCAGTGGGGCTCAAAGTCTCCCGCATGGACAGAGACATCAGCAGTTCCTGAGTGAGCTTCTGTTTTCCAAAAGCTACAGCCCCGCTGGTCACCATGATGCATTCGCGTCCCTCGTTCTGACACTCCGCTACTTGCTCTACTATGGAAGCCAAACGTCCCAGGGCTAATCCGTGCTCGTCCTCTCTGGTAATTACCGCACTTCCCAGTTTGACCACCAATCGACGAGCGTACTTCAGCTGATTCCGTTCCGTGAAGGTCGTCCTCCGGGGTCGGTCCGAGGTCTGCAGCGTTCGCCTCAAGTCCATTTGGTTGCCCTTAGATCAATTTCATCGGTCTGATTAAACAGCTAATACTTACCCCTCTCAAAGTCATAGATTATACAGGTGGTATCTAATCGTGCAAGCTCAAGTTGTGAAAAGTTCTAAAAGCTCTTAGCAGTACGTACTGGCTGTAGATGAGGCAGCCACAAGCCCATTGACGAGGAAGCAAATCTCTGAGTAGAGTTCAGACCCACGAGGGCCTTTGGCCTCGACGCCCTGAGCAAAAGACCCACGTACATCTTCTCTACGCGCACGGGCCTAACCCCTGTGACTGACTTGAGTACACGCTGGCGGAAAGCACAGCGAAACGGAACGCGACGATGGTCAACGAAACACTGTGAGTGCTCGACGGAATCTTCGGGGAAGGAACGTTATCAGTTGTGATTAGGAATGACGATGGTTAGGAGGGGGGGGGGGAGGAGAGGCATCCCTGCGAAGTCCTATTGGCTCTGATCAATCCGAGCTCATAGTATGGTAGCACACGCAAAGACCGCTAACAGTTCTTGCAAGTATATTGGAAAAATTGTATAGCGCAGTAGGCATGAACTTTGAATCTTGCATAAAATGGGAAGGAGAGGAACTGACGAGCGCGAAGAAAGAATGAAGTGAATAAAAGAGAAACGAAAAATAATATGATACGAATATTTTACGTTTCTTCTGCGTATGTGACTATAAACATATATGAAGCCTAACGGTTAAACATGACAGTCACACGTGCAAGCCACTCGAGGTTCCTTGGGACTTATGACGTTGGACGTTATTAAAATGTCTCAAATGTGATAAACTCGAACGTCGGCAATGAGATCCGTAAATAGAATCATCACGTGCGTAATGAGCGACACGAAGAACTATTTTTCCCTGTCAGGAATTGCAGTCGCAACTAGTTTGGGATCCGATAGAAACCTTGAGAATCGAATAGAGAAAATTTCACAGTGACCTTGTAGCGTCTAATCAGCATAATGGTCGAGAGTGAATCAAGCCAAACGAGCATTCGTTCGGTTATCTTGTACATACTCGTTATTAGTGCCTTTTTCGGAGGAATGGCGAATGGCGAAAAGAGACTTTGACCACGGATACGTCGGTATCAGGGTATAGTTCCCGTTATAGTCTTAAGACACGCTATCGCGGCTCTATAGTTTCAATGATAGTTTCTTCACTCCTAACGTCAATAAACCATCAAGAGGATGTAGTAGGCGTTCTCGAGTGAAATGTTCCATTAAGATTGTTATTCGATATAAGGCCAGAACGGCCGATTTCTTAATAACGGAAGGCTTACTTAAATCTTTAATGGTACCCATTCTCGAAGATAAACTCTTACCGAGATAACGTATATTCGAATCAGCCTTTGTTTCGGGACAATTTAAAGTATTGTAAATCATCAAGTAGAACGATATCGTGACGTGCAGTTATCCTTGAACACGTGTGGCATTTGTCTTTCTCCGTGAAATTATGTCCGCCAGGTACCCGCCACACTGTGGTACCAAGCAGGGTGTATCGTAACATGTTTCACTTTTTATTCTACCAATTTCAAAGTTCTTCAAACGTACCGGGGACGCAGTCCGCTAGTAGCTGGAGGCGTTCGAGCTCCGTAAAAATAATCTTCCCTATTCTCTAGAGCGGCGCACCAAAAAGCGAAGGAATCGATCAAGTAGCTAGAAAAAGGTATCGTGCTCTGGGATGAGAAAAAAAGATACGAATTACTAAGATTGTAGGGATTAAGCGAAAGGGGTGCTAGACAGTTGGGGTTGGAGAGGGGCTGGGGTGGGGT